CTCTCTCCCATGGTCTAGCATCTAATCTCTCTACAAGATATACCTCGGATATATTGTGGGTTCCACTCCAGACCACAGCAATAAGTGAATATTGCAATAAAGTGAGTCACATGAACTGTTAGGTTTCCCAGTGCATATAGAAGTTACATTTACACTGTACTGTAGTCTGTTAAGTGTTCAGTAGTAGTATGTCTAAAATCAATGTGCACACCTTACTTAAAAAGTACTTTATTGCCCTGGCTGGTTTGGCTCAGTGGATAGAGTGTCAGCCTGAGGACTGAAAGGTCTCGGGTTTGATTCCAGTCAAGGGCACATGCCCGGGTTGCAGGCTTGATCCCCAGTAGGGGGTGTGCAGGAGGCAGCTGATCAGTGGTTCTCTCTCATCATTGATGTTTCTCTCCCTTCCTCTGAAATCAATAAAAAATATATTTAAAAAATACTTTATTGATAAAGAATTCTAGCTTTCAGTGAGTCATAATCTTTTTGCTGGGGGAGGGTCTTGACTCAGTGCTGATGGCTACTGACTGTTCAGGGAGGGGCTGCTGAAGATTGGTGGGCTGTGGCAATTTCTTAAAATAAGATAATAATGGAGCTTGATGATTGACTTCCTTTCACGAACGATTTCTCTGTGATGTGTGATGCTGTTTGATAGCATTTTACCCACAGAACTACTTTCAGAATTGGAGTCAGTCCTGTCAGACCCTGTCACTGCTTCAACTAAGTTTATGAAATACTCCAAATCCTTTGTTGCCTTTCAAATTTTCACACCAGGGATAGATTACTTTCTTTGCATAAGAAGCAACTCCTCATCCATTAAAGTTTTATCATGAAATTGCAGCAGTTCAGTCACACCTTCAGGCACCACTTCTAATGCCAGGTCTCTTGCTGTTTCCACCACATCTGCAGTTATTTCCCCCACTAAACTCCTCAAAGTCATGCATGAGGGTTGGAACCAACTTTTTCCAAACTCATGTTAATGTTGATATTTTGACCTGTTTCCATGAATCACAAATGTTCTTAATGGCACCTAGAATGGTGAATTCTTTCCAGAAGATTTTCAATTTCCTTTGTCCAGATCCATCAAAATAGTCTCTTACCTATGGCAGATACAAAATGCATTTCTTAAAAAGTAAGACTTGAAAGTCTAAATTACTTCTTGACCAATAATGGATGCGTTAGCAGACATTAAAACATTAACCCATTGTACAGCCATCAGAGCTCTTGGGTGACCAGATACATGTCAGTGAGCAGTAATATTTTAAAAGGAGTCTTTCTGAGTAGTAGGTCTAGACAGGGGGCTTAAAATACTCAGTAAACTATGTTGTAAACAGATATATTGTTATCCAGGCTTTGTTCCACAGGCAAAGATTTAGCATAATTGTTAAGGACCCTAGGATTTTCGGAGTGGTAAATGGGCACTAGCTTCAACTTAAAGTCACCAGCTGCATCACCCTGCCCTTTGAAGCCAGGCATTGACTTCTCTCGAGCTATGGAAGCCCCAGATGGCATGTTCTTCCAATATCAGGCTGTTTTGTCTCCATTTAATGTAGCCACCTTCACTCATTATCTTAGCTAGATCTTCTGGATAATTTGCAACAGCTCTTGCTGCTTCACCTTGAACTTTGTTATGGAGATAGCTTCTTTTCTGTAAACCTCATAAACCAACCCGTTAGCTTCCAATTTTTTTTTTGCTGCTTCCTCGCCTCTCTCAGCTGCCATAGAATGTTAGAGTTGGGGCCTTGCTCTGGATTAGGCTTTGGCTTGAGGGAACGTTGTGGCTGGTTTGATCTTCTATCCAGATCATTAAAACTTCCTCCATATCAGCAATAAGCATTGGTATTCACTGGCGTAGCATTTTTAATTTTCTTCAAGAACTTTTCCTTTGCATTAACTTGGCTGTATGGTGCAAGAGGCCTAGCTGTTGGCCTCTCTGAGCTTTGAATGTGCTTTCTTCACTTGTTCATTTCTAGCTTTTGGTTTAAAGTGAGAGATGTGAGACTCTTCCCTTTACTTGAACATTTAGAAGGCATTGTAGGGTTATTAATTGGCCTAATTTGAATATTGTTGTGTCTCTAGGGAGGCCTGAGGAGAGGAAGAGAGATGGGGTAATGGCCAGTCATTGTAGTCGTCAGAACACACACATTTATTGGTTAAATTCGTAGTCCTATGTGTGTACAGTTTGTGGCACCCCTAAATAATTACAATAGCAACATCAAAGATCACTGATCGAAGATCACCATAACAAATGTAATAAAGTTTGAAATATTTCTAGGATTACCAAAATGGGACAGAGACATAAGGTGAGCAAATGGTGCTGGATAGACTTGCTCGATGCAGTGTTGCCACAATCCTTCAATTTATAAAAAACTCAGTATGTACAAAGCACAGTAAAGCAGAGCACAGCAGGATGAGGTATGCCTGTGCATTTCTTTTGGATTTTGGATCCCTGGGACATGTCCCAGTGTTCCTGTTTGATGCTGTTGTGTTATCATTAGGGAAAATGTGGATGGTTATGGATCTGGCTCCATTTCCTAACTAGTCATCAATCAAGAAGTGTGTGTTTTCTACGTAAGGTCTTTCCCCATGCTATACTAAGCATAGCAGAGTAATTTAAATGAGGTATTATGGTTCTTTGTCGAATAGTACCGGCTGGAGAGTTACTTCACATAAAACAATTAAAAAATAATTTTTCACTGATGAGTGGGCCACTTGAGGGCCAGGGCCCTGTTCCATTCATCTTTGAATCTGTGTGTTAGTAGACGCTCAAAATATGGTGTGGGGCCCAATGGTTGACAGAACAAGTGTTCAGTTCCTGCTGTGCTAGGGAGTTATACTCAGTATAGTTCTCGTTTTAATTTTCACAACCATAGGCTTATTTCTGACATTCCGTACCTCTCCGTAACACCTCAGTCCCTTCTGGGGGAACTACGACCTTAACAGGTTAAGTGTCTTAAGAGCCCAAGGTCTCACAGCTACCACGTGTTAGGGTCAGGATGAGTAAATGACAGGATGAAAAATGACAGCTTAGGGAAGAGAAGTTTGTGTTAACTGCTGTGTGTCCAGCCCATGGCCAGGAAGCCCATCTCCTTCCTGCTCAGCCTCCTTGGCCCTCAGCTCTCTGGAGAGAGCTGCTCTATCCAGTAACCTGTCGTCCTTCTCTCTGTGGTATAGGTTGGCTATCAAGCAGGGAGCAATGGCCAGCCCCTTCCCTCGCAGTACATGAATGACCTGGACAGCGCTTTGGTGCCAGTGATCCATGGAGGGGCCTGCCAGCTCAGTGAGGGCCCCATCGTCATGGAACTCATCTTTTATATTCTGGAAAACATCGCATAGACAGAGGACTTCGTGTTTTTTTCCTGTTCAGACCTGTTGCAACAGCAGTCATACCAAGTCATTTGCACTTTAGAACTGGAAGATTAAGCTTTTGTTAACACTATTAATTGGGGGTGGGGTGGGAGTGGGGTTTGGGGGACTACGGTGGCTGGGGGGACAGATGTTCCATTAATTCTAAGTCTTCTATGCATTGTCCACCAGATCTGGGCAGCTTCCATTACTGCACCACCGTTATATTATCCTTGAAGCTAAATCCCCTTCTGTTCCTGTTTAAACAAGAATTCTGCTCCTGTTTTAAGACTTATTTATGGTCTTGTGCTCAGAAATGCTCAAATGGGTACAACCATCACCAAGTGTGGGGTGGGAGGGCAGAGAGGAAATAAAATATGAAGCATCAGTCTTGTACTTTTTGTACAGAATTGATACAAAAAGGATCACACACTGATCTTGTTCCATTTACATCACAGTAACAAGCAGAAGTCACACTTACGTTTTTGTTTGTTTTTACCAGATTACCCAACGGATTATCACTCTTCTAGCCAAGGAAGGGCACCTCAGTGTAAATGAGGTGATTGGATAGCAGAGCCGAGTTGAGGATTGCTCAAGATCTGCCCCAGTGATTGGCAGGTACTGAATTGGGCCTTTCTGTGAAAGCTGACAATATACTCAAGGCATTTTTAGTTATAATGTACACTAGCTGTATTTTTAAAAACATTTTATTGAGAAATAATTTAAACTTCCAAGAAAGTTGCAAGTACAAAAAAACCCTATGTACGCTTTACCTAGATTCACCTATTGTTCACATGTTAACACTTTGCTCATTTGCATTATCAGTGTTTCTCCACAAAAAATGGAGACATTTGAGAGTAAGTTGCATAGCTAATAGCTCTTTACCCCTAAATACTTTAATGCTTATTTCCTAAAATTAAAGACATTCTCTTCCATTGCAGCAGGACAGTTCACAACTTTACATTGATTTACATTGATATACCAGCTACTTGACTCTAGCATCCGTCCAGTAGTGTCCCGCATGGCAATTCCCCCTCCCGTGCAGCTTCTAGCCTGGGATCAGACAAGGCAAATAGCCTTACTGACCCACCTGCATCTTTTATGTCCTCCATACTTTTGGTGAGTATAGTTCCCTCACCTCATTTTAAAAATTTGATTGGTATCTTTCCACAATTAGAATCAATTTATGCATTCTTGGCCAGAATCCCAAGTGATGTGTGCTTTTTATATAGTCACCTGCACATCATTGATGAGGGTAAATTTTGATCACCTGTTCAGTGTTGTCCAATTTCTCTTCTATTTCCCCCCTTGGAATGAATAACCAATGTGTACAGACACTTTCAGATCATGCAAATATCTTGCTCATCAAAATTTCCCTAAGATTTAGCATCCACGGGTGTTTCTTATCTGAACTAATCTTCTACATGATGGCTACAGGTTTTTCAGTTCCAGCACTCCCTCCACCTTTACCAGTTGCACTTGGTCATTATAAGCAAAAGCTCTTCCTCCTATTTACTATTCACTTAATTTTCATTGTGGACTTGTGGATTCCATTTTGAATGGTTCTAACCCATTATTTGGGTACTCAAATAGCTCAGCTTTGGCCAGAGAGCATTCCTTCAGGGTAGCTCCCCCATCCTTGTGAAATGCTTCTATCATTTTTTTTAACACTTTGCTTTCTGGCCTAACAAGATTCTCCAGGCTCATCTAGTGCTCACACTGCCCCAGCCTTGGAATCAGCCATGGTTTCTTTTAGTGGTATTGGAAACCAAGGTTTGGTTTATCCATGATATATGTGATATAGTCAAAGTACTTTCTTTTTCATTAAAATTTATTTTGGTCACAGACCTAATGGATTTCACGACCTAAAGTTTGAAAAACACGGCTCTAAGGTAACTCACTGTTATCACTGTCATCTTCTAAAAGCCCAGGCCAAGCAGCAGACGGTCCCTCTGGTACAAGCACAGCTCCAAGAATCCTCTGGAAGCTAATGCAGGACTCTGGGAAGTGAGAGGCTGCTTCCCAGTGGTTAGCGCTGGGCTTAGCACTTGGCAATTAAAGGCTGTGGAGCTATGTTTAGGCAGCTGTTTTCCAAACAGGCTCACAGCCTGGCCTTCACTTTGAAGTATGTCCACCTATGTTTATCCCTTCTCCATGGCAGTGGTGGTGGATCCACATTCTGTACTCTCTCTCCATAAGTTTTGCTGGTGGTAGCTGCAGAGTACTGTGATTGTAACCTTTTCCCAGACTCAGAGGCACCCAGAGCTTCTAAGGGAAAAGAGTAGATGCCGCCCCAATACCAGCATGCACTGAGCCTTGGGACCACACATCCCTCTAAAACCTGGTAGGAATATTTCATAGGGCAGGGATTTGAGGTGTAACATCCAACTTGGTCTAAATATACCTTGGAAGTTTGGAGCTTCTACAAACTCTGGTCCCATTTTTCCCCCACAGAAATTTGTCTTTCCTCCTGTTCAGTTAAATATACCTTGCAATTGTACGTATTTCTTCTGGATCAGTGCAAGCTTTTAAATTCTCCCACTGAGGACAGGCTCTGGTCCTGCAGAGTCAGGTCCATTCTCAATTTGCATAAAATATCTTGTGGAATGGGGCATAATAGAGCCAAGGCTAGTTTACCCCCCCCCCCCATTGTTTTATCTCTGTATTATACACTGTATATTGTAAGAGGTATATAAAGTAGAGGGCTGAAATATCACATTTCTAAATATGTCAAATTTTTCTAGAACATAAAACTTAAAGATTGGCATATAGAGGTCCTTATAAACTGAAGAGGGATAGGATTGCCATTATGGTAACATTAAATTTTAAAAATTATTGCGTTCTTACCAAATGCTAGACAAGGTATTTCTCCATTTATTTTTATCAAACTTTCTGAGCACCTACTGGGCTCTAGAAAGATAGGACGTTACCTTGTGTAAGTTCCCATCTAAGTGTAAGTTCCCATCTAATACCTTCCTTCACCCAGTGGTTCCTGAATGCTGGTAGGCCCACCATTTCCAACTAAATTTACTTCTGTCATAATTAGTCATCAGGGGAGCAATTTATGCATTTAATGCATTTCATGCAATAATCAAGCAATCTGCTGAACACTTTTTATATTAAGTTCTATTTTAATAGTAATGTTAAAATAATAATTTAAACAGTAATGGGAATTTTAGGAATTGTACACGTAGCCTGAAAGGCTAAGGAGTGGAACAGGAATGATGCCCACTCTGAAGTTTGGGAAGCTGAGGCCATGGGAAGAGTCCGTGGGAAGATTCTCGGAGCTGGACCAGGCACAAACTCCCTGGCTCCACCAGCCTCAGTCCCATGGTTTCATCTTAAATGGAGCTGCCTATTTAAGGGGCAAGATCTTTGAGAACTACCCACAAAATTCAGAAAACAAGCTCTCAACAATGGTGGCATAAGAAAGGAAAATAATGTTAAAGTCACAAAATAGTTTGCCTTTGTGAGCAAGACTTCCTAAGAAAAATTTCTTCTGTATTTTGTTCAGTTCACTAATTGAGAAGAAAGTATGCCTTGCACTAGATTAAAGAGGGAATTTACAATTTAAAAATAATTTGGGTCATGGCAGCTTCTCGGCCCCCGAATCACTAATCTGTTCGGTTGCTGCATCTGGACAAGTCTCAGGATAAGACGAGGCTGGGCAGGCTCCTCCCACTACCAGTGACCCTGGCATGCCTTGGCTGCAACAAAGGCCCTTTCAGAAAGAGCCTCAGTCTCCAAGTCCAGTGGGTGCTTTGTCTTGCCTCCCTCAGCCTGGAGGTTTTGTTTTTCAAAAGCAAAGAGCAGGGAAGGAGATGAGAACTGACCAAGCTGCAAAGGGAAATCTGTGAGGCACAGAACACTTCCTACAAATTGCAACGGGGCGTTTCCAGTGGAGGCTAGGAATCCGAAGGTGGTTGGAGCCTCTGAGGGTAACCACAGCTGTCCTTGCCCTCTTAGTAAGCACTGGTTGCGGTGCAAACCCTTCTTTGCTCTAGGCCATCTTAGGAAGGCTAACAACCCTTCTTTTCATTCTAGATCACTGCTGCTTTGACACACGGATGTAACTACAAATGTTAAATCTCACATCTGTAGAAATTTTGGTAGTTTACTCTGATGGCCAAGTAAGTCTGGTCAGAAAGCTCTTGGAAAAAAGTCATTTGTCTGTCCTTCCTGCTGTTACCCTCTAAAAGATTTGCTACTAAGGGCAGGAAAGCACGGTCCAGCCCTATGTCAGAAAAAGACACACACAAACAAAAACTCAATCCCTGAGCTGTGCTTACGCAGTGCTGTGGTGACCAGTAAGCTGAATGTATCTGCTTCACTTAGAGCCTTTAAAAGATGACCTCAAGGAATGCTTTGTACAACTTAAGCTAATGCTAAAAAATGGGTGTGGGGAGAGGGAATGGGATATTAAAGTTTATTTCTAAGAAATGTAGAATACTGCAGTTTTGAATATTAAACCTATTGCAACTACAAATCCCTCCGTCTCCATCGATTCAGAAAAACAAAGCCAAAGGAGAATTTCTTGGGGAGAATTAAGGGATTTCCCTCGGTGATCAGCCAAAGAGGCAAGGCTTCCTCTGCCCTCTCTCAAAGGAGAAAGCCACAGCAGCAGTTTCTGTCAATTAAAAGTTACTGCTACTCGGGCTTTTAAAAAGTGATAGGACTTTTCTTTAGGATTTTGATGGTTACTCTGCGTGTAGGGCATAAAACCCCTATAAGTGAATTAGACATAGTTTCTTAAAAAGTTACATACATTTTTGTGTTGTCTCCAACCCCCGCCCCCCGCAGTTAGCAGTCTTTTTGTGTTAGGTGCACAGACCGAATCCAAGATACAGCCTTGCCTACTTCCCACCATATAGTCCAAAACATCACTTCCTTCCTCCACCGAGAGCGTGGGGAACTAGTGCAGCAGCTGTCAGGAAACAAGGCACAGGCAGACGGGCGTAAACCGAGCTGTGGCACAGGCCACCACTGACACCGAGTCACGGAACCTGCCCCACCCCAAGCAGGGGCGTTTCCAATCTCTCAGGTTCTCCCATCCTTTACAGATAGAGCTTTTAAAGGCACATTCAGAAATGTTGCAACTAGAGGCTGGGGTAAGCTGCACACAGTTGCTACACAGGGGTTCAGGGGCTGCAAAACCCCACGGCACAGAGCAATGAGGCTTTCCTTGCTTTTGCCCAGAGGGAAGGGGAAGCAGCCTCCTGGAATCCAGCCTGCTTTGGTGTGGAGGCCTAGGAAGGAGCCAGCAACAGGAGAGACCAGGCCGTGGTCAGTAATGCACGTACGTACAGGTCTTTGGTGTTTGTGTAGCAGCATGTAGCTCCCTTATGCACAAAGGCTTCTGTAGCCAGCAAAGCTGGGAAAAGTATGCTTCTGCACACAGCCTGGCCTGACTCCTCTCCCAGCGTTGACTGTCTGAAGCACAGGCACAAAGCATAGGAAGTCAGTCTAAACTGCAATGAATACACACATAGAGTTTAGAAAGGTTTTCCTGAAAACAGACCTGGGTTTAACTTCCCTCCCAGGGTCTACTGAGGATCCTAAGAAACTCAGGCCAAGCCCTACCCAACAGTTTTGCCTTTTGATCATCCTCACAGATGAGAACTTCTGAGGCTTTCTCCCCCATAGGAGCTGCGTACTGGATGTGCCCTGTGGGCCTGGGCAGAGAGCAGGGGTGGAGGTTCTGAGCGTCCAGAGAGCTGCCCACCTCACAGGCCCCTAGGCTCCAAGACCAGCCAGTTCTCGGTGACCATCTGTATGTCCTGGCCACTCAGAGGCTCCCGCAGCCTCACCTTCACCTCCAGCTTGCCCCCAGTGGGCTTCCTTCCATCCAGGACCTGAGGATCACAGAGAGGGAGATGGTAACTGATGGGGACGGGCTGGGAGCAGGCAGCTCCCTATGCTCACAGGTAAAGAATGAGGAGCTAAAACATTCTGTGGTATCAACATAGGAGCCTCTACTTCATGACAACCCTGGTGGTGGGTCCAGAGAGCTGCCCACCTCACAGGTAAGTCTTACCAGAAAGAAGTAATATGTCAATCCAAGTAAGAGTTCTCACTCAGTTTCCCCATGGAAACTCCTGGGAGAAATTCTCTGGCTTAAAGGTGCAGCCTGAATAACCACAGCCCAGACCCTTCCTTCACAGATGGCCCAGAGAGTGGATGTTCTATTACACAGCCAGTGTGGCAAGGCCAGGACTAGAACCCAGGCCAGGGGTTCCTTTCTAACCCTCATGCTGCCTCCCTCCTGGGCAGGAAGGGGGAAGCTGGTGTGCAAAGCAGTGAGTGCTGCAGCCTTGAGAAGCCTAACCACCAATGCGGCCAATACAGAGCCCTTAAGAAAACCCCAGGAAAGGTGGCGGAGGGAGGTGGGTGCGCCGTAGTAGGAAAGCCCCACTGACGAAGGCACCAGCAAGGGTCTCGGCCACACGCTGCTGAGGACACCCTTCTCTCTGGAGCTCAGTTTCCTCATGTAAAAGGCAAGCTCTCAGAGTCACTGCCTGTGAAATCTGATGAGTTCATGGAAGCTTAAGGAGCTGTCTGGGGCCAATTCCTTAACAATCTGGCTTCATTGTGGCGGGTCCCAGCTTGTGAAATACCTTATCAACTTTATGTCCAGAGCTTGTTTCATTCTGTCAAGCTGCCAGACTACTGCCCAACCATAACTCTGTCCTTCCGTATCCAGGAGTTTATATGTGCCAAGGTGACAGCAATGACCGGGCCCTGCCATCCACCATCCCTGGGAACTTGAGTGGCCCAGAGTGTCATGGAAAGAACATAGCTGCTTTCTGAAAGGGCGATGCTATAAAGTTTTGTCAGACCCTCTGAATCTCAGTCTGTAAAATGGGAATAGCACCTATTGCACAGCACACTTCTGGATGTTTTTAATGGACTGATGCTCAGTGAACGTTGGGCTTTACTTGCCAAGCCCTCTGGTTTTCCCACCCTACCTCTACAATCTCTGGGTCCTACCTCCAAAATCTCTCTGATCTCACACTCATTCTCCAGCCGCTCCAGTTTCAGGTGGGCTGTGCCGACCAGCTTGTCACTTCTGAAGAAGGATCTGGGGAGCCAAGGGTCAGCAGAGGGTTGGACTGGGCAGGGAAAGCAGGAACGAGCTGGCTGAGACCAGCACAAGAAAACTGAGTAGTAGCAGGGATGGCAGCAATAGAAGCCTTTCCTTCCTCCCAGCCCACCCTAGCATTATGACTGACGGGGCTCACCCTTTGTGGAGGATTTCAAACTTGATTCCTTTGCTTTGGATCACCCTTCTGAAGCCCCGGTGGTTTCGGTTGATGTTTAATTTGAAGAGCTGATCAAATTCTGCAAGAGTGAGAGGAACTTGGCTACCAGGGATTTCCTGAGGTGGTGGTAACAGGCCTGGGGGCTGATCTCCCCTCTGGATCACTCTGCCTGTAATTCAGTGAGACTACCACCAGAGGGTGGTAGAGCCTAGGTCCTGGCCTTGCAAATCCACTTGGACAGTTCTTGTGCTCTTAGACACAGATTTTGCTCAAATGGAAGGGACATGGAATTTGGAGTCACGATTGCATTCCCACTACTTTTGTGCTTGGAGGCCATAGGCAAGTCCCTTTTTCTCTCCAAGCCTCAGTTTCCCCAACTACATCTGGAAACACAAATGTTGCACATACACATATCGGAGAATGAGGGAGGAGAAAGCAGCTCTCACCTGGAGAGTTTGTGTTCTTCACCACAGCTGTTTTGCTTTTTTGAGCCTGGTCCTAAAGCGGTAAGAAGGGAGAAGTGTGGGCAGCTTGAAAAAACAGGTCTATTGGGCCAAGTCGGTGTTGAGGGAAGGGACGCCTATAGATCTTCAAACCCCTCCCTATAACCAGACCTTCCAGGGACTGGGAGAAATAGAGCACCAGGTCCCCGAACAGAAGATGGGGTTCAGAGGATCCTATCTCTACCTGAACCTCACCGAGTTAGGGTAGTGGAACTCAAACCGCACAAAAGCATCCAAGTCATCAGGGGTCACCCCTATAAAGGAGAAATGGGGGTCAGCACCTGAGGTGGAGGGGAGCCAGTGCCTCCCATTGGCTGGGGGTACAGTGTCTAGGCAAGAGCCTCCTGGAGTCGGGGTGGCCCTAGGGCTACCTGGAGGAGCTGGGAGGTTCATTCCCCGGACAATGATCAGATGCATTTCTGTGCTGTTGAGTTCCGAGAAGATCCTATAGCCAGGAAGTCAGGAGAGAGAGCCCAAAGTGAAGTCATGCAGTGGGAAAGGGTCCCCCTTCCAGGGACTGCCTGCCTGCCAGGTAGTGCTCAGGAATCGAGGGTGCAGGAATAGAGGCACAGCTCGTCTGGGCTAGGAGCAGCAGAGCTGGTACAAAGACCTCGGTCTAGAGCTCCTTCCTCAACCACCACAGCTCTGAGCTCCTCACAGGCAGGCACCACGCCCAACCTCCCACATCCCTAGGCCCAGTGCCTATGGCAGGACCAAGCCCGGGAATTCTTACTAAAGGGGCCTTGGCTCCCAGCCTCTTGGCCCATCCCTACATGGAGCCATTGTCTCAGGCTTTGGTACCTCACAGTCTGGAATGTCTTCAACTCAAAGTGGTGGCTAGGAGGGTCGAGGCCCCGAGCCTGGGCCAGCTGCAGGATCTCAAGCTGCTTCTTGCGGTCCTGAGCAAGCTTCTCAAACCTGACAGGGACAGGTGCACACGTTAGCTCAACAGGCCCATTTCTGCTCCCTGCCCCACGTGCACAGCCCTGCATTTACCGGGTAGTCTCGGCCACATTGCCCTGGTGCATGAACTGCTTGGAGAACAGCAGACACTTCTGAAAATAGAGGCCCAGAGTGGGTCTAGGTTGGTTTTAGAGGCCTGACTTCTGAAAGCTCCAACCTTCTCCTATAGTCTCACCCCTCTCTTCCCCCAACACATACCCTCCCCAAGATCACTTTCCAAGTCCCTAAGTTTTTGCTGTTTTCTTTCTTGATGATAGCCACACCCCAAAATTCAATTAGCACACTCCTATTTTATTACCCAAATTATTTACTACAGAACATTATCTTACGGTTTTTGGGTGTGTTTTTTTTTTTCATAAATCACAATAATATTCGTGCAAAACCTAAGAGAAACATCACTTCAGAAAGTAGACTTGCTGGCAGCAGTTCAGATCGATATGTGCAAATATACATATATGTCTATTTTCCTATATACATATATGTATACGTGTCTCCTAACACTTCCTCCGATCTTCAAAGTACTTTCCCCTCCAGCCTGTTGTCTGAACTTCATTAACCACCTGGGATATTAACCATCCCATTTTACAGATGAAAATGGTGCAGAGAGGGGAAGTGTCTTGTGCCAGGTCAACAGCCAGTAAGTGGAAGAGGCACAATTTGAAACCAAGCCTCTCTGGTCTGAGCCTCACGCCTTTCCCCAAAGGGAGGCTGTGGGCACTGAAGGGAAGAGAGACAGCAGTCAACTGACCTCATGCTGCTCCAGAAGCATTTTTTGTAGCTGAGCGTACACTTCCTCGGCCTTCTGGGAGAGGCGCAGGTCCTCATGGTGAATGAGGATAAAGTCACCCTCCTCATCCGTCAAGGGTGAAGGCACCTGCCAAGGTCACAACGCCCCTCGGGCGCCAAGAGTCAGATTACCCCCCTACTGGCCCAACAGATACAGGAACCCAAACTGAATGGTTCCCCAGCTTCTAACCACCAGTGTTGGGAACTCATTGCCTCCCGTCTGTCCCCGGCTGCCGAGATGCTCTGCCTCCCACTGGCTTGTCATCACTGACCACGGGCAGCCCACCTGGCCTTTCCTGGCCTCTCTTGGGACCATGGGGCCAAGACGCATAAGCAAAAGGCTTTTCCAGGGGTCACCACATCCTATCCCAGGCCCACCTCTCAGGTTGGCTGGAGGACCTCAGGGAAGGTATGGCTGATGGCAATGGACAGTGGCGTCCAGGCAGCTGCCTGGTTCACAGCCCTGCTGTCAAGCCTGCCACCTGCCTCTTCTGCCTGAAAAGTCCTGCTTAACCAGGAGGGACTCACCTTGGCGAGGTCCACAGGTCTGCCGGCTCGGACCTGAATGATCTGAGCCTCGAGGCATTTGGCCAGCCGCAGGTGAGCTTTGGCCTGTTCCAGGTCCTGGCCACGCTTGGCCTGCAGGGCTGCCCGCTGGTACTGCAGTTTGCGGGCCTCTAGCAGTGCCAACTGCTCCCGCACTGAAGGGAGAGTGATGCTGGTTAGAGCCATGCCTGCCCCTCACTAGAGCCTTCAGTCCCCCACCCCTCTTCTCCCCAACTCACCAGAGGGACTCAGTGACTCCTTAGAACTCGAGGCCTTGGGCTCAGGCAGGGGCCGGGAGGAAGATACCAGAGGCTTCTTAGATACTGGGGCCTGGGTTGGAGGCTCATCCTGCAGGTGCCCAGGAGGAGGTCACAGGGAATCTGCTCCCCACCCGGCCGCAGCAGCTTGGACTCTCTTGTTAATATTGCACTAACTTGCTGTGTGAACTGAGATGAATGGCCTCCCCTTGTGGGCCCTACAGAACCTCAGAAGCTCTGAGCTAACCTTCCCAACAGCAGACAGAAGGGTATTAGGGGTAGAACATGGGCTCTAGAGTTAGAAAGACATCATTTTGAATCTAGCTCTGATAATGCCTATCTGGGTGCCCTTGGCCAAGTTTTTTCTCTGTAAAATGGACAACAGGGTCTGTGTTTACCCCTCATCTGCTACCCCCGCCCCCATCCCTGGAGTCTTGGGCCCTCAGCCAAACCTCATCCTCATCCCCATCTTCCTCTGCGGGGGCTGTTTCCTCGGAGGAGGCCAGTTTCTGGGCAGCTGCTAAAGCAGCTGCTACTGCATCCGCCTCAGTGCCTGTGATGGGCTCCAGACCAGGGATGGGGGGGAATCCTGTAGGGGAGAGAGCTGTGTGAGGGCTGGGGTGGCCTCTGTGGGCTCAGCTGGGTCTTCTGGGGCATGGCTGGGATGGGTGGCTCCCACAGGTGGAGGCAGCTACCGGAGAATCATTTCCCCTCCTCCTCAGAGATTTCAGTGACCCTAGGCCAAGCACCACTTACCTGGAGGAACAGGCAACTCAGCAAAATCAACTTTGCGTCCTGCTCGGTGTGCTCGCATGGCATCTTGATATTGCTGCGAGGGAAGAAGGGGAGGGGCTATTGTAGCAGCAGTCTGCAGGCTCCCACAGAGACGAAGAGGAAGACTGAAAGCAGCCCCAGGAGGAAAAAGAGCCCCTGAGGCAGCAAGAGCTTGAAAGAGACAGAGAGATGGAAACTCTAGCTGCAAGGGCAGAGAGCAGACAGCCAGAGAGGGGCCGATATAGGCGGGTTTCATAGCTGCAGGCCCACCTTGGCAATGCGCTCGTGCATCCGGGCCTTGCGCTCATCCCCACTGGCCCGGGCCTGGATGCCTGCCTCGCGGTACTTGTTCAGCCTCTGCTGCAGGGCGTCCAGCACCGTCTGTGGCTCAGCATGGGCCACTTGAGAGGAGGAAGGAGATAGCATCAGCCCTGCCTACCTCTCCCCAGTCCCCACTCCACAGTCCCACCATCACATCCTACCTGGGGCTGCTGGGGTGTCAGGGGCCATCACTGGCTGCACTCGCTCCACTGCTGGGGGTATGACTGTGGGTGCTGTGAGAGCCTTGGAAGCCTGTGGGAGGGGCTTCAGGTCTGGGGGACCCAGAGCAGAAGTATAGGTGGGGGTGCCCAGCCAGTCCCAGCCTGAGCAGGTTCCCTCCACCATCCCCATACTGACCCTCAGGCGCTGGGGGCATGGCACTCAGGTCCACAGGCTGCCCCTTCTCCAGGGCCTCCAGGACGGCACCAAATCTCTGCACAGTAGTAAGCAAAGCAGGTGTGGTCATAGCCAGGGAATCTCAAGAGCCTGGGCTGAAAAAAGTCCCCCTCAAGTCCAGTCTAGCTGCGTGACCATGAGCAGGCCACTTCCCCCAACTGTGAAACGGGCTGGACAGAGGGCCCCTGAGCCAGATGTCATACCTTCCCAATCCTCATGAACTCTCGGGCACGGTCTAGGTCTCCAGCCCGCTTGGCACTCAGGGCAGCCACTTTGTACTCCCTTTGTCGGGCCAACAACAGGGCCCGTGGGTCTGGGTCTGAACCGGGTGGGGCAGATATGCCAGGGCTGCCCAAGCTGGTCTCAGGCTGAGAAGGGTTGTCTATGGAGAAACAAAAAGCCCATTAGGGTCAAAGAAGAACGTGCACACCTTGGGCTGCCGGCACCCACAGGAAAGGTGTGACTCTGGCCATCGACTGGTGAGATGGGGAAGCAGGCCATGGCCCTGGCCTTGGGAACTAGAACAGGATTTGAGTGTCTCCAGATACCTGGCAACATGGTGGGGGGGCCGGGAGGGTCTGCATCAGGGCTCCTGTTGGTTGTTTCCTGAGAGGCCGGGGATTTCTTGCCCAAGGCCACTGGAGGTGGGATCTCCTCCTCATTGATCTTCCTGCCTTTCCTCACAGCAGCCAGCTGGGCCTCTAGGGTCTGAGGGAGAGAAACAGAAACCCAGCCGGACCCTTCACCTCCATCAGGCCAGTGGGGAGGCCTCCCCCCACTACTGGCCCAACCTCCTGCTGCCCTCAGCCCCACTCCTCCCAGCCCTGCTCCCTGGCTGGGCCCACCCTACCTTTAGGCCACGCTCACAGCGCCTGGTTTTGGCTGCTTCACCTGCCTCCTTGGCGCTGGCCGCAGCTTCCCGGTAATTGCGGATCCGATCTTCCAGCAGAGCCTGCAGCCCCTGAGGCCCTCCAGCCTGTAGATACTCCAGCTCAGGGCCTGGCCACTCCAGGGCCAGCTAGGCCCTTGCTGCTCCCTCCCTGCAACAAAGCTGCCCCAGAAAACGGAGCTCTTGGGTTCGAGGAGGAGCTCCTCAAAGCCTCAAGGAGGAGGCAAAAGGCCATATCAGAGGCAAACACAGAGGCCCAGACCAGCTGTGAAGGGCTACAGAGGATGGTCTGGGAGAACAGAGACCTGTGAGGCCAGCCAGGCACCAAAGAGTCCCTCATGCTCAGTCACTGCTTCAGCAGGGGCACTGCTGGGGAGGGTCCGAGGGTTACTGCCGTCTTCCTATGCAAGCTACGCTGTATGCATGTTATACACGGGCACGCAGGGCTGTCAGGTCCCTTAAGAACCTACCTGAGCTGCTGGGGCTGAGGCTGTTAGGAGAGGTGTCTGCACTGGAGGCTCAATGTTTTCCTGTCCCTTCTCATCCTCAGAGCTACCCATGATGGCTGTCTCATTGCCATGCAGGGATCCAGCTTCTCCATCTGCACCCAGGACCTCTTGCAGCTCAGTCTGGGGAGACACAATTCGCAGGAGCTTGGGAGCCTCATGGCCATACATACTGTGATAGGATCTGAAAATAAAGGGCCCTCTTCCCCGCAGTACTTCCCAGCATCAGTCCCTGTGCCTGAAAGCCCCCTTTACCAAAACACTTCTTTAATCTGACTGAAGACAGTCTTGAAAACAGTGAGACCACAAGTCTCAGAACCCCCAAGTACAGAGTGCAGACCAGACATCAAAGGAAACTAGTCTCTGCCCTAACCGATTTGGCTCAGTGGATAGAGCGTCGACCTGCGGACTGAAGGGTCCCGGGTTCGATTCCGGTCAAGGGCATGTACCTTGGTTGCGGGCACATCCCCAGTAGGGGGTGTGCAGGAGGCAGCTGATCGATGTTTCTCTCTCATCGATGTTTCTGGCCCTCTATCCCTCTCCCTTCCTCTCTGTAAAAAGTTAATAAAATATATTTTAAAAAAAAGAAAAAGAGGAAACTAGTCTCACACTGTATAGTCAGGAAACAGCCCCAAGAAGGGCAGGGCAGTTGTGCAACATCAGAGCACACACAGGGGCAAACCCCAGCCTCCTCTGCAGTTTGATCAGGCCCAGGACACCAGCTTGGCAGACGTACCAGCAAGTCTGTATCGTCCTCCAGCCCTTCCTCCTCCTCCTCCTCCTCCACATCCCGCATACAGTCCGCTGCCAACTTCTCGATGTGGGCCATAGGTAAGGGGGCTGGGGAAACAGAGGGTCAGGGCCTCAGCAAAGGTCCATGAAGAGTGAAGGAGAGCCTTCAATGACTGTACATTTCTACACCCAGGTAGAAACCCTGCCTTTCCACAGCCAGTCCCACCTGGAAAACTCCTGCTCTTCCATTATGACCCAGCTCCAAAGACCCTCCGCAGGGAAACCTTCCTGGACCCTTCTCCGCATTTTTGCTATCGTTCTTCACAGACACATCCATCCTTTTCTCCTAACTACACCTTTCATGTATGTAAAAACTTTTAACATCCATTTGAGCTTCACAGTAATTCTGTAAGATAGGTCATATTATCCCTTTTATAGAAGTAAACTGAGAACTACCAATATTAATTTTCCTATTAATTGCAATCCTATAAGTAGCAGAGCCATGATTCAAACCCAGGCTCATCTAACCCCAAAGGTTTGGACTGAGAAAAAATGGAGGGCCATGGTCCTCCCATTATCCTCAGCTCAGGGGTACAGGGGTTGGGGGAGGTCCTCCCTGAGGGTTCCTGGTGAGAAGAGGAAGATTTAGATCCTCTGACCCTCCCAGACTTCAGGTCTCTGTCCTCTTCCAGGCTAGGCAGGAAGATTCCGCTTATTCATCGGATACAACTTCTATGCGCTGATTAGTGCCCAATTCAGTCTGTGCTGAGCCCCTAATCTATACCAGACCCTGGCTGGGCTAAGAGTAGAGACCTGAGTCAGCCAGAGAATCATACTGCTGACTGTCCACATGAAGGGGGGCAGTCAGGGAAGGAGTGAGCTCCCCATCACAGGTGTGTGAGCAGGGCAAGACGAGCTCTTGGTGAGAGTGCTGCAGAAGGGACATGGGTAGCAGGACGACCAGGTGATGTGGCTGCATCCTCAGAGCTGTGAGGACTCTCTCCACCACCTGCTTGAGCCCATCTGGTCCCAGCACCAAGTCCAGCCCAGCACCGACAACTTACCCTTCCCTTTGGGGACTGGCTTCCTGCCTGTGGTCCCTGCTTCCCCAGTGAGGGCCAGCAGCTCAGCCTCCAAGTCCTCATCATCTTCAGTCTCCTCCACCCCCAGCAGCATGTCCTCAGGGCTCAACTCCACAAAGAGCCCCAGCTGAGAGCAGAGAAGATTTCTTAGGAACCATACAATGGGGACAAGGATGTAGTCCAGCCCCACAGCCAGGCTCCTAGAGATCAGTGGCTCCTTCACTGTGTGAGGCCCAATGTGCAGAAAGGGAAACTGAGGCCTACAATATTACCCCTTAGTATACTCCCTGGTGACTATAAAGACAGTAAGACCACAATGCCATTATTATTACAACAATGACAGCACTGTATTTACTTAGCACTCACGTGCTTACCTTAGTTAATTCTCACAATCCTAAGGGGTAGGTTCTATTTTTTAAAAAATTATAAAACACACATAACCTGGAAACTATTATTATAACCATTTTTAAGTGTACAGTTCCGTGGCATTAAGTACGTCACACTGCTGTGCTACTATCACCACTCTCCATCCACAGAACTCTTTCCATCTTGCAAAACTGAAACTGTGTACCCATTAAACAATAACTCCCCATTTCCCCTTCCCCCAGCCCAATGACCACATTCTACTTTGTCTGTATGAATCTGACTAAACAAAGGTAGGCCCTTTATCACATTCAGATGATACTGAGACAGCCTTGTTAAGTGCAGAACTAGAATTTAAAATGAGGTCATATGACTTGAGTCTATGCCCTTTATCCTACACCTTCCTTACCTGCCTCTTTTAAGAAGTCCCAGGACTTGAGCCCAGAATAAATAGAGATTAGGGAACAGACCCCTAAGGCTGCAAAGCTCTCCCAGCGGATTAGCCCTCAAGCCCTGGCCTCTGTGGCTGGTAAGCAGAGCTGTGGCCCTAAATGAACCCCTCAGAGTGCCGAGGCCCCATCAGTACCCCATGAACTGGTGGTTCCTGAAGCCTCCAGATCCCTCGTATGGAGGCGGCCATGGCAGGAGGGTGCCTGGGTTCAGGCCTCATCCCCCACATGTGTGCGGCGAGGCCAGGCAGAGTGTCCCTAAAGGCTCTGCCAACTCCGGGGGGCAGGGCTCCAAGTCTCTTCCCTAATGGGGACACCACCCAGATGGCCCAGATGGCCCACGCCCTGGAGGAACCCCCAGTCCGGCTCAGGGGTGAAGGCATTTACATACCTGCTTGGCCGCTGCCACACCCTGCCCACGGGCCTGAGGGCCCTTCCGCGGCCTGGGCCCCGGCATCCTGGCGGCCTAGACACCTGTCTGGTGGGAACGGACGAGACTCAGACTGGAGCAGCCGATAGGCCCCCTCCCCAAAAGCGCTCCCTGAGTCAGGCTGGTCAGGAGGAAAAGGCAATGCTCACATCAAAGGATGAAGGAGGGTCACGGAAAGCACAGCCCTGGAGCAAACACTAGGAGGCAGAAGGGAGGAGGCCACCTGCCAGCGGGCTGAGGGGAGTGCGAAACCGAGGGCAAACCCGAGTGGGAGGAGCCGGGAGACAGTCAGGAGTGACTGCGGGCCGGGCGGCGGGTGTAAGGCCGGGCTGTCAAACACGGTAGCCACACGTGGCTACTTCCATCGAAATGAACTGAATTAAAAACCCAGTTCCTCGGGTACTGGCCGGCACAAACACTGACCTTTTATCATCACAAACATTTCTCTTGGGCGGTTCTGTCTAGTCCAGAGGACTGACTCCGCGCCCTGGTTCAGAGATCTCACAACCTCACGGGACCTACTCTGGGTCAGGAGACCCCGCGCCGGCACCGGGGGAGCAGGAATGGATGTGACATGTTCCCCAGCCTCTCGGAACATTAACGCGGGGAGACGGCCTCGTGGACGGACACACGCCCCCCGGGCGCTCCAGGGCGGGGGGCCCGGACCCCGGCGGAGGGAACAGGCTCGGCGCTGAGTCCGGTGGGAGCTGGGAAAGGACCCCACGCCGAGGGCGCGACCAGAGGGTCGTTCTGGGGGGAGAAGCCGCTTGGCCTCCGCAGGCGCCTCAGGACCCGGGGCTCCTGGAGCCTAAACTGCGCGGCAGGACGTGGACAAGTGCGGCCGCAAAGGTGCGCAGGGCCGATATGAACGCCTCGACACCTGGTGGAATCCAGGCAGCATCCCGAGGCCGGGGCCGGCGGGACCGGGCCGGCGGTTCTGTTTCTGAACCGCC